CAGCCTCATGCAGGAGGATAGCACCAGCTAATTCAAACTCCAATTAATCTGTTAATGATCTGTTAATAATTTTTACACTAGAGCTGGCATGTTGCGTATGTTAAGGATTTGTTTTTTGTAATTCTATATGATGCAAGATGGAAATGCAGCCAGCATATCTAGAATATATTGTAAAGCTTATGGCTACAATATATAATACCACAGTTAACTCACATTATAGATTTTTTATGTTTTGGCAATGTGAATGTCTCCTCTTCTTCCTTGCTGTCTCCGTGGTATGCACATTCACATTATCTTTTTTGGGTTTTTTTGTGACCAGACAGAGACTTTTGTTCATCTTTTTGTTTTTCCATTCCATTTTATGAGCAGAGAAAAAAAAATATCAAAGAACAAACCATACATGGATTGAATAAAGTGATTGATCCGATTAAATGGGTTGTCACTGCGGTTGTGTTCTAATGGCGCTTTCAGACTAAAAGACGTGTAGAGTCACGATTTCCTGTCCTGTCCTGAAATTCGCATGACGCTGAGTCGCAATAGCCTATCAACGTTGAGACTGTTCATACGTCACTACCCTATTTTCTCTACGTCTGCTAAATTTGGGGGAGAGGAGCAGTGACCAGCGCTCCAACTTATGGACAAATAAACACCACGGTTTTTGCGATTACAACGTTGATTTATCTTCATTGGAGCTTCTCAGCAGCTAGCTTCCGTGCACCTCCGGTTCCAGTGTTGTTGTTAGCGTCGTTAGCTCTGTCGGACTACGACTTCATATTTATATAAAAACCGGACAAAACTGGACATTACTGGGAGAAAAGAAAGCGAGGAGGTTGAACTACCCAGTGAGTTCAGAAAACGTGTATGGAACTTTATTCCAGCTATCGTTGTACTTTACTGTGATCAAGTTAGCATAGAATAGCTCTGCTCGATCCAAACTCCATTCAGAAAATAAACATTTTAGAAGTTGACCTGACAAAGCATGAATTCATATGTTTAACAAATCTGCATCATGTTGTTGTTATTTCGGCATCAGTTTGATCCGTTTATTGCTATTTAATCACAGCAAAATATTTACTTTGGGTTCATACAGCTGTAGTAATGGCGAGTTGTGTTTATTCACGTTATTGCGTTGTGTGTGAACGCTCAGCAGTTGTCCAGTGATAAAAACCCCGCGAGGAGAGCGTTGCGTGGATTAAATTCGCGTTTGGTCTGAATGCCGCATAAAGCACCAACAAACACTGCCAGAACTTCACAAAATCCTACAGGAAGGAGCCACGTCGCCAGATTTTGTGTGAATGTAGCCAAAGCTGCGGTTCATCCAGTCGGCTGTGCGGCGTGAGTGTGTGTAGGTCTGTACCTGTCAAACAGAAACACATACCTAACAGAGAGCAGAGGAAAGCGAGACGGAGACAGCGATGTAACCTGGTTTATCCGTAGTCATTTGGGGCCCAACAGACAAATCAGCGTGCCAATATTCTTGGCATATATAAGCTTACTGCAGATAAATCGGTGTCTGTGTTTATAACAGCTGATAAATAACTTAAAAATTTTCAAAATATTCAAAAATGTTATGAGTGTTGTTGTTGCATAGTTTGTCCACCAGATGGGACTCTGCAACTCCCCTGTTGGCAACACGTTTGGAGCATAGAATGTATAAAAGAAGTGGACGTAGTCATCGTGACGTCACCGACTGGTTTCTGGACTGCCTTGAGTTTGGCCATTTGTCACCGTGTTGATTTTTTGCAACCAGGAACCAACCAGACGTGACGATATTTGGATGACACGGTGGCGCTAGTTAGCTTGGTTAGCGAGGTGCATCTGTAATTTACTTTAACCATTGTGCTAATTTTGGCTAGCGACAAACAGACAGCCAACTCCTAATAAGCTTTTTCAACTGATTAAATTTACACACAGCTGTGGACACCAGTCACTCTAGCCTGATTGACAGGTCGCCATGGCAACGACTTGTCAATCACAAGGTAGTACTGCCATAACTTCTTCCCATAAGTTAATTATCTGGTACACACAAGTTATTATCTTATGTGTACAGGATAATTATCTTGTTCCCACAAGACAAAAAAATTAATCTTATGGGACTTCAAGGGATCCATACTTTTCGGACCCAGAGGTTCCCGCTTGGTTTGGAGCAATAAAACAAAAATCATCAGCTGAGAAAATCAGCAATACTATTCAAGTACTATTTAACAAAGAAAGGTTATGTTTAAACTGAACAATGATATGTTATGTTGGTGAGATCTCTACACATAAATGTTATGGATGGTCTTTGTTTAAGTTTTGTGTTTCTAAAAAAAAAAAAAAAGGGGGGGGGGGGTGATTTTAAAATCCACAAATATCAAAATTGGTATCTGTCTTAAAAATCCTCTCGCTCTAGTTTTTACATATTCCTGACATCACACACTGCACGCTGCAGAATTAATTGACATGAAGGGGAAAAAAGCTGTGCCGCATTTACATGCTGATTTAGAATTCAAATGTCAGCATTATGAATGAAGCATCAAACTATTTGGTACAGCGCCAAGTATGTAATAAATGCATGACAACATCTCTATCTAGTGTGTGGTGGTGCCTATCAACAGGTTACCCTCCCTTGCTGAACTGTAAATCCATTCCTTTGGAAGGGGATCTACAACTGGGGATGTCAAGACCCGATCTGCAGGATCGCACCAACAATATAAACCCTGATCACTTTCCAGCCACTTTTATTTGCTTCCAGTATGCCAGCTATCAAAAATGTGCCATCACACTTGGTTAAAATATGGGAGCATGGTAAATGAATAACCCACTAGGGAACTACAGAGCACACAAAAAGTAGTTCCGTTTTATTATACGACACCAAAACATAAACAAATAACCATGTCAGAGTCTGTCACCAAATACTCAATATCAAAGAGCTCGGATTGGGGACAGAAATATGTGATTGAGACAATGACGTTTACAACAGAACCACATCGATCACCGGAGAAGCATAAATCTGGCTTAGCAGTGGACTCACAGTAGTTGGTGCTGTGCTCAGTTCACAGGGCTGCCAGTGTATAGCTTCTTAGGAATTTACAACTAAGTTTAAAAGCCCATTGTGAAAGTAAATGTTCATCAAGAAGAAAGTGAAATCTGGACACAAATGACCTGTCCAATGCAAGAACAAGCCAAACCTATCCTGTGTGTGTGTGCGCATGTGCCAGTATCTGGGTGTGTCTTGACAAAACCTAGGTAAACTGTGATTAGCATTAAGGCTGAAGCAGTACACTGAGAGCAGGTCTACCTTGCAAGGCCCACAGCAAGTGTAAAGCTTATCTGCCGATGCACAACCGTATAACACAGTATATTTGTGTGAATTTAAAAAAAGACATGCGACAGAGTGTGAAATCAAGTTATCCAGTCAGTTCCTTCACCGTCCATTTACTTCTTTTCAGTTAAATCTGAGTAGAACCACAAGCAAGGTGGAACAGCATTTAATCCTCAACCCCTCAGCTACTCAAGGATTAAGACAAACTAACAATCGTATCGAGTCCAATCCGTAGAAAATCAAACCACTAACATGTGTTCCAAAGTGACTGTGAGTCTATGTGAGGTGATGAGCATGAAGCCTGAAGCAGTGAAGAACGGACTGGGGATGACCTTCTGATCGGCATGTCACCCCGCCTTTTGTCTTTCCTGGTTGGCCAAGAGACAAAGCCAAGTCAGGGAAGGGAGGAGGACAGTGATGATGCATCTGTCACCCACTGTGACTGACTGATCTTCCTGACAATAGACAAAGCCCTGCCCCTCTCTCTCAGGCCACGTTTATACTCGGGGCTTCTTTTAATACAAAGCTCAGATCGAAAAACCAGCATCTCAGGCTAAATCCCATGAAAAAAAAAATAAAACCTTTCACTGTTCAGAGACTTTCAGCAAAGCTTTTATGCCTGCCTGCCTGCCTGCCAGCAGGGTTACCCGGCTGGAAACAGAGTAAACAGACAGCGCCCACAGCGAAAATAATTCCCCCAAAAATTGCAATAAGTAACTTACAAGGACGTTACGTTTCGCCCTGAGGACGCACAATAGTATGGGCTACCATAGCAGTCACCTCTATCAAAGCACGCTGCATCGTAAACAAAGAGAAGGATTAAGCCGTTTAAAAAACAATTAAATCACGGCGTTTCACTGAACGTGATAAGTAGCACATGAGCTAAAGTAGCTTTAGCTGACTTGAATGTGTATGCTAGGTCAACTGACTCAATCATATGTACAAATATCTAAATCAAATGGCCGGTTTGAATTGCGAAATACTATTGGGTGTAGCAGAAATCCAAGTTTGTGCAGCGTCACTTAAATACATCGGGCGGAATGACTAGCCTACTTGCTACTTACCGTAAGGTTACCGCTAACGTTAGCGAGATCAGTGAAAACTTGCGACAAGTAATATTAGTTGTCATCAGCTAGCAAAGTAAGCTAGCGAACAGCGTTAACTTGCTTACGTCGATATAGTTACTTAACTCAATTGGTTGGAAAAGTGTATAACCTAGCTAAAGTTCAACGTTAGTATATATTCTGCACCACTCCGTTATGCCAGCGACTTTCATATTTACCCCAGGAGATCCAACCTCTGACTAACAATTTCTACGTACTTAAAACTTGCCTTTGAAAAAGTTGGATCAAAGCTAGCTACTCTTCTGTTCGGTTAGCCAGTAGCAAATCTCGTTTCTCCCGTAGTTCGTCTTAAAATTCAAATTTCGATCACTCAGCAATTACATGTAATCTGAACTTTATCGTTTATTGGAGTCAAAAGCAGCCCTACACACATAAACACAACCATTACGGTCAGCACCTAAACGTATTTTCTATCTAAGACTGCAAAGTAGCATGCTAAGCTATTTAGCAATCCTTCAAGCTAGCAGCCAAGACGGGTGCTCGGTGGAGACATCACCAGAGCAAACTGGATTACAGGACACCCTGGAAAAAACATAACAACTCGACTGTCTTGAAAGCCCATGTTAACTTACCATATATTTTGGGCTACGTCGGCTCTATTTTTGGTCCAGATATATAAACCCATAAACAACTTTCGCCAAATCCACGGGGGAGGTTGGGGGGGTGATCAAGATAGAGTACTTATTTCGGTGTTCAGGTGCTTGTTGCGCCTCCGCCAAGCTGTGTGTTGCTAATGCTAAGCCAGCTAAAGCCAGGCTACACGTATCTCCTCCTCCTCCTCCTCCTCCTCCTCCTCCAGAACATGGCGGCAGAGAGGGAGGGGGGAGGAAGCTGGAAAGGGTGTGACCAAGGCGGCATTGACTTGCCAGGGGCACACAGAGCCCCGTCACTCCACGCTGAAAACTAGTCATGTCACCCAGCAAGTCATAAATGTAACGTTACGGTGTTAGAGCAGGCCGATTTCAGAGTCACCATTATGACTGTAAGTACATTTCATCCAAGTTTTCACAGGAATGACATGCAACAAAGAAGGCCTTATTGCTGGGAGAGTGTGATTATAACACACATCACAGTGCTGGTTAACAGTGTCAGCCTCAAGATTGCAAATTACAATGATGATCCAATTTTCTCTTTCGTTTTAGCTGTTTAGTGACTGAACAGATTAAATCAGGGATTTTCTTTCTCAGGGAACTGCTTGTGTGCGTGCGTGTTACAGGTGTGTCAGTATTAAGCCACAAACATTGCAGGACAGCATTCCATCACTCAGACTTTTCCACTGTCTCTGTGCAACCCTCTCATCAGCAGGGGTTTTTAAACAGAGGGAGGAACACTCATCACACCTTTCAGACACACATGCACAGCACACTGTTGTTTATTCAAATAAGGTTCTATGAATAGACATGAAAAGCTCCCTGGAAAGTGTACAATGAGCTGCGAATAGACATCTACATCTATGTGTAGATGGAGAGTGAAGTGCTTAAAAATAGAGGTACAGTTTCACATCTCTGCCAGCACAGACAGAAATGTTGCCAACACCTGAATTACAGTGTCCAATGTGGAGTCTGTAGCCTAAGCTGTTTTTTTTGTTGTTGTTTTTTTACTTAGCCTACTATTAATATGCTGTACCTCTTGGCTGGGCTGTGACATTCTTTTGCTTTATTTATCCTTTCTGTCTTTTTATAGAGTATCACTGGAGCTTTACTCTCCGCTATGTTCAGAGCACAGGATAAGCCTAAAAAAGCACAAGTCAAGCTGATTTTGGTGTGTTTGGCGGTCTCTGCATGAGAGAAAGGGAAAGAATGATAGACTTGGAAGTCCTGGTGCAAACAGGCTGTTTAAACAATACCTGTCTGTGTGCACCACACCAGTTGTATTGCTCGAAATATAATACAGCTGACATTTGCAAGTCAGGATGCAGGAAATATAATTAAATTATGAGATTGTGACTGTCACTTGCTTCCAGGTGAACAAAAGTGAATCTGAGCTGATGACTTATCACATTATAGCCTTAAAAGCATCCACGTTAAAAAGCTCCTAAAACACAGTGTAATAGTCAATATTTGGCTCAGATATGATCTTATTCAGAAGAGGATTATGCACCAAAGCTGGTTTGTTCATCAACACTGGAGGTGACAGGAGGAGGGCATTATGTCTTTGTGCTATTATATAAATATGTATTTATCTCTAGAATACAGCAGAAAAAGACAAAACAAAAACAATTTGAGTTGCTCAAACAAGTGCGATAAGTACTTTCAAAAGCACTCAAAATTTTCACCTTGACGTTTAAAACCGTTTGCTATTCCCTGGTATCAGATTGTTTCATATTGCTTTCTTATCATGTCCACCTGAGTGTTCTCACATTTGCCTCAGTGCATTATCGAGCTTGTGCAAACCTGGACTGTGCTATTCCACTGAAGGCAGAATATTTACAGGTGCTGGTCACACAATTAGAATTTCATTAAAAAAGTTGATTTATTTCAGTAATTCCATTCAAAAAGTGAAACTTGTATAATGTATACATTCATTCCACACAGACTGATATATTTCAAGTGTTCATTCCTTTTAATTTTGATGATTAAAACTGACAACTAATGAAAACCCCAAAATCAGTATCTCAGAAAATTAGAATATTGTGAAAAGGTTCAATATTGAAGACACCTGGTGCCACACTCTAGTCAGCTAATTAACTCAAAACACCTGCAAAGCCTTTAAATTGTCTATCAGTCTAGTTCTGTAGGCTACACAATCATGGGGAAGACTGCTGACTTGACAGCTGTCCAAAAGACGACCATTGACACCTTGCTTAAATTTTCAGTCCAGTGTAAAGTTTCCACAGTCAGTGATGGTTTGGGGTGCCATGTCATCTGCTGGTGTTGGTCCACTGTGTTTTCTGAGGTCCAAGGTCAACGCAGCCGTCTACCAGGAAGTTTTAGAGCACTTCATGCTTCCTGCTGCTGACCAACTTTATGGAGATGCAGATTTCATTTTCCAACAGGACTTGGCACCTTCTACCAGTACCTGGTTTAAGGACCATGGTATCCCTGTTCTTAATTGGCCAGACCTTAACCCTATAGAAAATCTATGGGGTATTATGAAGAGGAAGATGCGATACGCCAGACCCAACAATGCAGAAGAGCTGAAGGCCACTATCAGAGCAACCTGGGCTCTCATAACACCTGAGCAGTGCCACAGACTGATCGACTCCATGCCACGCCGCATTGCTGCAGTAATTCAGGCAAAAGGAGCCCCAACTAAGTATTGAGTGTTGTACATGCTCATACTTTTCATGTTCATACTTTTCAGTTGGCCAACAATTCTAAAAATCCTTTTTTTGTATTGGTCTTAAGTAATATTCTAATTTTCGGAGATACTAAATTTGGGATTTTCATTAGTTGTCAGTTTTAATCATCACAATTAAATGAAATAAACATTTGAAATATATCAGTCTGTGTGGAATGAATGAATATAATATCCAAGTTTCACTTTTTAAATGGAATTACTGATATAAATCAAGTTTTTGATGATATTTTAATTATATGACCAGCACCTGTATTTTGTTCAATGTGTGGGTGCCTCCTGTAGGTCAGATTGCGTCATTCCCCTGCAGGTCCAATTTCAGCCAACAGAGGTCAGGCGTGTTCTACTTTTTATTATGAGGCTTGCGATCAGAGGGTTTTATTGTAATGTGAAGGTAACCTAGGAGGCCCTTCTAACCCCTGCAGCCATGTGTGTCCTTTAATATGGGGTCTGCACAGGTGACCCTTGCTTTAAAAAGTCATTAAAGTTAATTAACATTAAACACCACTGCCTCAGGTAATTATATGAAAGCAGGCAGTCCTGCTTGCTTTCATATAATTACCCCCACTTTCATATAATTACCCCCACTCACAACACTCATACTCTATTAGAGACCCATTGGGCCCTTAGGTTTCCCTGCCTGCATCGTAAGGTCTAATGCATTGACCAAGGCTATTCTAGGTCACACTAAAGTGTGATCATTTACTTGAGCAGAATAAAACACTATGCATCGGACCAGTAGGGTAAAATCCACACTGGCCAACACCCTCCTACTTTTAAATTTATATATTAGATATTTATTCCCAACTTCCCAACCTATTACCACTGAGTGATGTGAGGAATTCTTAAACCATTTTCTGAAACAAGCCAGGTGTCAGGTCTCAGATTGCTCCTCCATCTCAGCATGCGTTATCGGTCACCACCATGTCCAACAATGTTGACACACTTTTCCAGATGACCTCTTATTTCTCATAATGTATCCCTTGTCATTTTTAAATCGGCAAAAAAACTAGATTGGATTCGTACGTGGACAGGAGCAAACTGCCTTTCGAGGGTCTTTGTGTTCTGGGAAATAATGTTCAGTCTCTGTCAGAGATTTGTCACATAGCACCCACATTATATAATTGAGCATTGTTTGTCACACACCAGCAAATCAGGCGCTTACTGCAGTAAATCACAGTTACAAAGGCAGCAACATGTGTGAGTCATATTCATTTGAATGTACTTCAGCAGTGTGTGCGAATACAGATGTTCTTGAAACTTACAGATGTGCAAAGAGGCCTGACAGTCGCTACGTGAATTACTGGTGCATCAGTTTCAAAACCTACAAAGTTATGTAATGTGGAAAGGGGGAAAGACTGGCAGGATTCAGTCTTTGGCCTGCAGTGGAACACATGGTTCTGGACGCAGCTGAAATCAGCAGAAAAAGCACAAGAAGACAGAAAGCATGAAACAGGATAATGTATAATACCTGCCACTCCTGCCAGATTATTAGCTAAATCTTTTCATGCGTGCAAATGGTATTATGCTTGCTTGGGGCTGGTGTAAACTGTACCTGAAGAAGGTGAGCAAGAAGAAGAAAAGTTGACATTCACTCATTTTTAGTTCACATATCCTACCCGATGAGCTCACCTCTGTGAGTTTAACTTGAACCTTTTAGTTACAAACAACCATCAGCGAGAATATTTAGATTTTCCAGTTCCCGGTTCTTGTAAGTGATCATGGAAAACAGACAAAATGGCATCTTGAAATCTATAATTTAACCACATGCAGTTTGCACACGCTAGCTGTGGTTTTCAGCTCATCACTGCTGCACTCATTCTCTCTAGTGGGTGTCCCACAAAACTAACAGATGTAATTTGAACCAACACTTTACATTGAACATTATGAATAAGGAAATCACTGAGCTGATATCTCACTCTGCCTATTGCCTATTGATTGTCTACTGTTCAATATATAGGTACAGGTGTGCATGTTTTCTGAATCTGAACTCCTTACAAAACCAGCAAGAGAAGTGGTGAGAAAGAAAAACAATTATGAGATTAGAAGTGGCATAGCGACAGTTTAACATAAGGGGGAAAAGAGGAGGAGAGAATCAGTGGACAGAGACGACTGACATTTAAAAAAAAATGGAAATGGAAATAAAGAAAGAGTGAGTACAAACTAATTAGGAGCTGGACCTTCACACTGAACAGATGGAGAAAGGCAGTGTTGTCGTTTTCTTTGAAGGGAAGTTGAGAGACTGTGTGCCCACCTGCTTTTCTGCCATTGCCCATGCTTCCGTTGAGACACACACACACACACACACACACAAAAAAAACAGTTTTATGCCCTCTGCATCAGTGCCCCTGACATGATGAAATGTTAACGTCGCTCAAGCAGAAAAGCACTAGCTTGCGTACTTATATGTGCCTGTGTGTTGTGTGTAAAGCATATGCATCACAACTGTAGGCTACTG